ATGTAAAGTCTAACCTTTAACTACATGTGTAAGTGTTAAATAAAAAATACTGTAGAAGTAGCAATAATTGGGATTACTCAAATAAAGAATCTTTGAGTATCTCAAAGTTTTACTAAAGTACAGGGCTTGAGTAAATGCACTTTCACATTCCCCCACTGTGCAATACTGTCCACAAACTGATCATTATTTAATATCATGTATTTAATATAATGTTGTTTAGTCACATTTATGAGAACACAACATTAATACTCTATGGTGTATTAAACACAGGTCCAGGGAAAGTGTGACTCATCACAATATTTTCCCATATCTTTCACTCATCTCTGTTTTCATGTCAAATCCTGTCTCCCTGGTGGAATCTGAAATGTAAGCCCAAGCTTCTTGATCCAATCAATAGCTCTATTTCCTGCTAATCCTGCTTTCACATCTCTCTGTATAGTAAGATACTCATACCTTTAATAAGCCATAGAAATCAATGGCTTACAAATTCAGTCCGAACCACTTGAGTGTGTGGTCACAGAGATCAATGGAGACCATGTTTATTTCTTTAATGAGCTATGATATCAGTGTGAACAGCACAACCCCATCCTCGGTGTAACCTCGATCATGCATCTGACCTTTGATTCAACCATTTACAACAACTGCAATGCTTTACTGTGTATATATAGAACAGGGTTATTGGGATTTCAAGTTTACAAAAGGCTGTGAACAGATATTTAAGGTCTAAAAAAGGTTTGTTAATGGAAACAACTAACACTGAAATTCACCCAGGTGATACAGTATGTGACTAAATGTGAGCTGATATGTCCACCTTTTCATAAAAGCATGATCTTTGTAAGCTTGTACAGTTTTGGGTCCTTGGCATTTTAAAGTTTAACACATTTTTGAATCACATAAGAAGCTACTTATATCAAACACAATCAGAACTTGGTCAGAGAATACCCATAATTTATATCAGAAGAAGAGGCTTTGAATCTGTTTGTTTTCTTATAGTTTACTGTATTTGCTTGGTACCAAATAAATGTGGTACCAAGCTTACATGAAGGATCTTCCAGTTTCAACTGTCAAATATGTAATTCTTATTGATGAATAACATAGGATCTGCCAAATGTGCGCATATTAAAAAGAAAAACCTGAACATTAGCTGAACTCTTAGTATCATACTATGAGGAACACGTTACTGAAAACCCTTAACAAACCTAAACAAATAAATGACATACTCAAAACATAATGGTCACTGTTCTTTCATTCATTTTATGATGCATGCATTTATTCATCTCTTTAATAAGGACCGTGTCTTCTTGAAGCCATAAAGCATGTTGTATCACAAACAAGCTCATAAGATCTCTTCAGTTAGTTACTAATGCGAGCCCTTTACTTGTATTCCATTTTCTCAGTCCTGTCATTGTTAGCCACTAAGTTCTCCGTCCTCTCTGATGAATGGCTGCCCTTTACACCCCTAGGCCAATTACAGCATAAATGACAGGGGCCGGGGATCAGTGACAGGTCTTATTATCGTTTCAGAGCTAAAGACGAAGAGGAAAAAAGGTGTCTCATTTTCCTTTATAGGTAGATGTAAAAAACATTTACATTTGAGAAAGAAAATAAATCTAGTTATATTGTGTAAAATAGTTAATCAGCTCTAAACAAAGCTGTAATAGATGCAGACAGATACAAATGTTTTGATAAACTATATGAGTTGTGGGTTGCTTACACAACCAGAGTATAAAACAGCAAAGACAATTATCCATAATGGAAACACTGCAGAGAAATCCAGCCATGTCAAGTTGTCTTATTTGTCAAGGTAGTCTCTCGGTTATTGACTGAAATCACATTATTCAAGGCATTCATTTCATGGGAATGAAACAGTGGGCCGTTTGCCCACTAGGAGATGCTATAAGGCCCAAGGCAAAGCAAACCTAATCCAAACTAGCACACTGTGATATTTGATTGTATTTTTGCAGTAAATTATTTGAATTATGTTACTGCAATTACCCATTTAAAATACCTTTACTGTAATGATTGTTTTAAGGTAAAACAGCTTCACTGCAAGAGTGATTTACTGTTATTGTAGTTGCGGTTTACAGTATGATACTATTCCTATGTATGATACCGGTTTTGAGTTATAGTATGATTCTGTAATTGTTTTAAAAGCGGTATTAGTGTGATTAGAGTGATTAAAAGAGTCTTTTTTTGTTGGCAACATAATGTAATAGTGAACTTAGTCAAGGGAGGAGTATTTAGTTGGTTCCGATCTAAGTGCCACTAAATCTAGGTTTTTAGCAGCCTTCAGGGAGTGTTGGTAACTTTTATCTCACCGAGCCAGAAACGTTGTAGGTTAAAAGTACTCATCATTGATTATTTAAAATAGAAGACTGACAAATGGCTAACAAATATATTGAAGAGAAATACATCATGAAGAGTACAAAGGGTACTCTAGACGTAGAATATTTGAAATGATTCACAACACAACACAAAACAATATTGAACATGTTGCGAAATCTACAGGTGGAGCTACACGAAGAGCACACAAAACAAAATCAGAATTATAAGCTAAATGCATTAATGGCCGGTCTGAAGAATTACAGAACATAAGAGGCTAAACAGCTTTGTTGTTGTCGATCAATACTGCAGTTTAAATTGTTTGTGGATACTAAAAGAAGACACCTGTGTCTGTCCTTATTCTCTCACTTTCAATACAGCCCTCAACCTTTCAGTATTGTTCTTTGTGACCTTTATCACATCATCTGCAGTGCCTTTTTGCTCTACACCCTTCCTCTGTATCTTGTTTATGTAGAGAACACTGTTTGAATAACAAGACAATCTCGGTTAAGTGTAAACTCTCCTCTCCTCGCTTCTCGGCCGATGTGATGCATTGTGGGCAGCAGGACTATTCTAATAGACACACATGGTAATTACAGTAGTGGGAGGCAGCAGACAGTGGTGGTCCAGGGACAGCAAAAAACTATAAATCACAACTCCTGGTTCCGCCCTCTTGAGCGTAGCCGATTACGCTCAACCAAAAAGCAATTCTGCCAACATGTGTTTGCACATTTGTCTTCATCAGCCGCTGGCTTGTTTTGGGACCCTTTGACTGCATTTTCTTCTCCTGCGGTTATCAAACGCGGACTACTTCTCAAGTGTTTGAGACAAAATCGACTATATCAGGCTCAACAATTAGCCACACTTGAGATGTAGCAAAAGCAGCAACATGAAACGGTGATGAGGGTACTTTGTTTACTTAAAAAAATTACGATGTAGTGAAAAAAGTCTAGAACAAAATACTTAAATTATAACATGTGGAATCTTCACCTTTGATAAAAGCTTTTTTTTTAAAAGTGAGATGCTTCCAGGAGAAGTCTCTAAATCAAAGAGGTGGCAATAGCAAAGTTGTTAGAAAAGTAGGCAGTGATGGTGATTCAGAGTACAGTGTGTGTCCTCTCTGGCTTTATCCATACAGACAGCTGCCTGTCAGCCAGCTGAGCCCATGCAGGGTGGAGGTGTCTGCTGAGGAGCCGGTGTCAGCGAGGTGAGAGCTGAGCCCGGCTACGCTGAGCTGAGCTGAAATGGATGCAGAGGAGAGAGCGTCTCCTGCCTCTGAGGGACACAGATTTTCAGCAAGGAAACAGACTGCTGGAGCAGGAGACTCAGCCAGACAGAACATGAAAGCCAAGAGCGGCCATGACACTTGATGGACACAAACGCAGGGAGAGAAGCTGCCTCCTCTTCCTCCCTCATGCTTGCTGTTCCTCTCCTTCAGCAGCAATCCACACAAACAAGACCCCTTAAGGAAAGGGGAAAAGGGGATGAGAGAGGAAGCTTGAATTGCAGCGGCTCCAGGTTGAACCTTGGCCCCCTGTAATGTGTGGTCTTTGAAGTTGCCCGAGATGTTTAGAGAGATGCATAAGCTTCAAAGAGAGCTATAGGCCAATCATTGAATTTGTTGCATGTTGTTAGGAATAAAATAATGCAAGCTGCCAGAAATCCACATACATCCTTTAACAAAGACCAGGGGTCATTCAAGAAGACAGCTGAAAACAATAGCGAGAAATGAAAGGTGACATGAATTGAAAGGTAGATAAATAGCTGCAGGGGGAGGAAGGAAGTTTGTTGTTGGTATAAAAGGATGCGATGAAGGCTTTGGTCTCGGAAAAGCTGCCAGTTGGTTTAACAAGGCTTGTCAGGCCAGTCAATAGATTGTCAGCCGTTGATGTCCACATTTCAGTAACACCAGAGCCCAGTGTGTGCCCGATTTATACATGCTGCGATGCAGAGAATCCTTAAAGACAGCGAGCAAAACAAAACAGATGCATGTTCGTTACATATGTCTTACCAAAACAGATGAATATAGCAAGCTAATGTGGCACTTCTTTCTGCAAGCCGCCTAAAAGAATAAGGGGAAACAAGCTAAGCGGTCAGAGGTCGCCAGAGTCACAGGGTTGTCAAGTCTTATCCTTCTGAGAGGGACACCGTTTCTCCTGTCCATTGTTAAGAAGGGGGTTGTTAATATGTTAGAGGAGCTTTCCCTTAATGTGATGGTGATGAGTCGCAGTGATCTAGTTTCCCCCCTTCACTCTATCCGCAGCGATTCCCTTGTTGTGGCAGTTTTGATACCCACCTGCCCCAGCTGTGGGCCACATCTGCAGGCGTGATTGGTTTCGTCTGCAGGGGCCTCCTCCTCCAAATGCCGCTGTGACTCACCTTCCACTGTTTTGGCATTTACTCAAATCTGACCTGGCAGCTCAGTGGTGTGCCGCAATGGACTAGCCCCGAGCACTTTAGCAAACAAACCTAAGCAATAGCATACTTAAGACAAAGCTGCTTGAGACGCAGCGGACAAAAAAACAGGTAACCATTTTCTTCAAGGGAAATACTGCATGGTGCTCTGACTCTCTCTAAGACCACAAGTGGCTTGTGGTGAATCAGATGTAAACAGGGGGAATCTGAGACCAAACTTGTCATCTCACAGCTTCAAATCAATAAAGCTCCATGTTCTCACTCTAATCGCGGCACACGTGTGGAGTGAGCTTGGGATCACTGGGCCTGTAAAAGAGGCAGGGAAGCAGAAAGAGAAGGAAAGGAGGCAGGCACACAGACAAAAGGATCAAAGGAGGAGACACCTGCCACATAGGGAATGAGCTATCAATTGAGACGGGAATGCGAGGCTAAAGTTAAAGGTAGGGTAGGTAAGAATGGGGAAACCAGCTCAAGTGCGCTAGAATTTGAAAGTACGCAAGTAATTGTCAAACTTCAGATGGAGGAGGAACAATGCGGATTCCGTCCTGGTCGTGGAACGACGGATCAGCTTTTTACTCTCGCAAGGATCCTGGAGGGGGCCTGGGAGTACGCTTATCCGGTCTACATGTGTTTTGTAGATTTGGAGAAGGCGTATGACCGGGTTCCCAGGGAGTCACTGTGGGAGGTGCTGCAGGAGTATGGGGTGAGGGGGTCTCTACTCAGGGCCATCCAATCTCTGTACTCCCAAAGTGAGAGCTGTGTCCGGGTCCTCGGCAGTAAGTCCGGAAAGCCATCTTTCCGGTGAGGGTTGGCCTCCGCCAGGGCTCGCGCTTTGTCACCAAATCCTGTTTGTAATATAACATGGATACGGCTTCGAGGGGTAGTCGTGGGGAGGGGGTCTAGCAGTTCGGGTCGGGACTGAAGGAATTGCACCACTGGACTTTTTGCAGATGATGTGGTTCTGGACTGGCTTCATCGTCTGCGACGCCTTCAGCCTCTCACTGGACTTGGTTCTCACAACCGAGTGTGAAGCGGGCTGGGGATGAGGATGCAGCCACCTCCAAATTCTGAGCAACATGGTTCTAAGCCAGGACAACCCGATGGACTGTCCACTCGGCCAAGTAGGGAATCGAGTCCTTACCCCCAAGTGAAGGAGTTCAAGTATCCTCCATCGGGGTTCTTGTTCGTCGAGTCGGGACGGGAACAATGGGAGCAAGCGAGATGGGCCGCGAGATCGGAGCAGCGCGGAGCGGTACTGGAGCAGCGGGAGCGGTACTGCAGTCGCTTTACCGCACCCGAAAAGGGAGCTGAGCCAGAAGGCAAAGCTCTCTGTCTACCGGGCCATTTTCGTTCCTACTCTCACCTATGGTCATGAAGGATGGGTCATGACCGAAAGAACGAGATTGCGGATACAGGCGGCCGAGATGGGTTTTCTCCACAGGGTGGCTGGTGTCTCCCTTAGAGATAAGGTAAGAAGTTCGGTCATCCAGGAGGGACTCAGAGTTGAACCGCTCCTCCTTTGCGTCGAAAGGAGCCAGTTGAGGTGGTTCGGGCACCTAGTTAGGATGCCACCTGGGCGCCTCCCTAGGGAGGTGTTCCAGGCACGTCCAGCTGGGATGAGACCGAGGGGTAGATCTAGGACCAGGTGGAGGGACTATATCTTCACTGGCCTGGGAGCGCCTTGGGATCCCCCAGTCAGAGATGGTTGATGTGGCCAGGGAAAGGAAAGTTTGGGGCTCTCTACTGGAACTGCTACCTCCGCGACCCGAACACGGATAAGCGGGAGAAGATGGATGGATGGATGGCAAGTAATTTACAGCGCCACGGCTTCCACAGATGACATTTTTGTATGTGTTTAATGTCAAAGCATTTCATGTATTCATTGCTATCGGGATGTTAAGAGCATTTCATGGAATATAACAAAAAGTGTTTCTGAAGTGAATTAACTACCCCACCTTTAAAGGTAGGGTAGGTAAGAATGGAGAAACCAGCTCGAGTGCGCTAGAATTGGAAATTACACAACCGGAAAAAATCTGCCGCTTCCTTCAGACTTCCTTACAGAGCCCCTCCTCCAACACAGACGAACGCGCACATGACCAATGAGGGCACGAGATAAGTTTGTGCGCAAGATGGAAGGCTGACAGGCAGGTTGGCCTTCCAGTTATTTTAGCCGGGCCGGCTAAAATGATTGGTCGTGCTTTTTCCAGCGCCACGGCTTGGAATTTTTTTAATGTATTTATTGTCAAAGCATTTAATGCATTCATTGCTATCGGGATGTTAAGAGCATTCCATGGAATATAACAAAAAGTGTTTCTGAAGTGAATTACCTACCCTACCTTTAAGGGGATATTTTATTTATATTTTAACAAAAAAATCATTTTCGCACATTTCTTTATATGTCCAGGATTTTGGATAGTCGTCTTTAAGATTTCTGCCTTCCTCACTATTGGAGATGAAGAGAAACACATTTTCTTTGTGGGGCTCCCAGCATTGAATAATTTCACCAATACAATTCACCCACAATGTATCTTCCCAACATGAATGTCCCAAAAGAGCTTTCTTTAGGATGACGACAGGTTGCTGTAATTTTTCAATGCTGTAAATGCTGCATATCTCATACCATATAGGCTATATTAAACAGCACACACATCAATATATTCAGATATCTCAAAACAAGGGCTAATAAAACCAACAGCTATCTGAATGGCAATATATACAAATATTATATACAAATATATATGTATATATATATATATATATTTTTTAAATATAGGTGTGACCTGTACCAATAATTGTCCAGAGATCAGGCATTGCACTTCTATAATATTGTTATGATAGACAGTTAAAAAAAACTAGAAAATCAATTTAGATCCTCAAGAGGAAATGGATAGTGGTTTACAGAGGTCTTGTATAAGCTCGACTCAACACTCCCCATATTTTTCTCAGATTTCATGCATCTCCCTTTAAAGCCACAAAAATAATGATGCACCTTTGTGAGTAAATCGGTCGACTTCCCCTTTAAGGGAGAGTTCATGTGTAGCCCGTGCGCTCTAATGCTACACTGACACACCTATATAACACACGTGTTGCTTTATTGACCAGACACCCTGGGTGTATTTTGATCCTAGCAAAGCTATACCAACATGCTAAATGTTTTTTTTATCGCAGCTCGTAGTGTCTCTGGACTTAATTGACTTTATTAATAGGCTCTCCCTTTAAAGAGACCTGAGTAAAGCAAGAAAGAGGGAAGGAAGAGCGTAAAGACAGAAAACCAGGAGGAGGTGGGGTTAGAGGGAGACGCTCCACTGCCTGGCTGACAAACAGAGGGTCCCTCCAGAGCCAGGCAGATGAGAAGGAGAGGAGAAAGGGAGAGGGGTGAGAAAAAGGAGGGGAGTTTGATGTGGGCAGTCAACCCCACCACCCTCCAACAGCCCTCCTCCCTTCCTCCACCCCCTAGCAGAAAATCTATGCCTGCTTTCTTAGTATTCCTCCCATCTCTTGTGAAGGCTCTGCGGAGTGGAGAGCAGACAAGTGGACTGCTAGTGAGGCCCTGGCCAGCCGTGTGTGATGCTGGGAGTTTTTTTCCCTTCTTCCTTTTTAGGATGGGGTGTTTGCTCAGGGCTGACAGGACGGACAGAGTGCCTAGCCCCTTGAAAACCTCCACCGGAGACCTGAACTGGACACATCCTCCCCGTTCACGTCCCTTTCCTCTCCCCTCCTTTTAACACAAGAAACCTGTAGATCAATGGGTGTACTGTACGGTTGGCCTATTTTCAGACTGGACATAAGAGTATTGATGACACTGATGACCAGTTGACCACTGTGCTGAAAGCAACCAGTGCAATGTTGATGTCCTCTTGAAGGAGGCCTACATATTAATTAATTGTATTTGTTCTGCATCTTTGTAAGGGTCAGTGTGTCAGCCCCGCTTCACAATTATTTGAATATTTACCTCAATCACAATTTAATATAATATGACCACCTGGGATATTGAGGTTACAAAGGCATGCTCTGCTCATGCCAACAGAATGGCAACAGACAGCCAACAGGCACTTTTCCTTTACCTCCATACTAAGAATGCCCCATTTTGTCAGTCATTGTTTCACATGAGAAAATAAATTAGACTTTTCATTTAAGAAACGGCTGTACTTTCATAACAATATTGAAATAAAATTGAAAAGCTCTAAAATCCATTGAAAAGTGATGTACCCAGTCCAGTGTAGTAAAACAACACTGCATTTGAAGTCATTAGGTCACAGGATATGGAAACTATTGAGTGTTGAATAAAAAACGTTTTTTCTTAATAAGATAAAAGGTAGACTAAAATGCAATAACAAATAGGTGTATCCTACTTGTCCAGTGTTATGTTCCATTGATTTGGGGTCACTTGGTTAAATGGCATTCAAGCTATTTTAGTAACTTTCTATAGGCTTTTCTTTCAAAAATAATCAGTAAAAAAAAGATATATGTAAAATAACATAATAAAATGAGATGTGCCTTATTTGTCCAGTGTAGTAATCATGTCTGTTATGGCTTTGGAGTACAGCTTTGAAATCATGGGTCAGATAACATTGTAGGTGTTGAACAAAAAAAAACGTAAATCAACTAAAAATGTATTCCTTGTCAAATCAATTCATGACTGAATGAATGAACAGAAATGAAACCAATTCTTCCAAACTAGACACTTTAATTATATATATTTCCCCTAATATGGAAGTTAGAACGGAGGTATTGAAGATAATATCTTTTTTTGTTATTCAAACTCTAATTTATTGATGATCCCTAAGTTAAACGCTGTTTAAGAGCGAGGCCTCGGATGTAAACGTACTATAGACACCGTCAAACTGTGACGGAAAAAGCCCACTGGATCCAGAGTGAATGTTTGTCCAATATTTGATCTAATACTAACTTCATCGCGGCCCATATCACACACAGCAAATTACCCGATAAGTGACCATACATGACTCATTGGGCAGTCAATGAATACAGGTAGGACCTTAGCATGCAAGGGTAAAATATGTTGCGGTATACCAAACTTACCGGCATATCTAATGATGCAAATGCACTCAATCAACTTGTTATGCACTGTTAATTTAATGTCATTATACAAATTATATTTTTATCAAACGCTTAACTTCAGAGCTTCAGAGTATCTTGAACTTCAACAGGACTATACCATTCGTCCATGGACTAAACCACAGATCAGAGGGGGAAAAAAGGAAGGAAGAGCGTAGCAAACACATGAATCCAACATCACATTTTTCCAACTGTACAACCTTATACCTGAAACCCCTAGAACAGGTCAATGTGCTATGAATAGAATAGATGGAAACGTCTTTAATTTAAATGTTTGACTTCATTTTCCCCAACACAGTCAGACAATGCAATTCAGGGGGCAAATGAGAAGCAAATATGGACGTTACTAACAGTTTTCCTCTTTGATTGCAATTGTCAATAAGCTTATGTTGGGACACCAATACTGTTGTTTAATACCAATACCTATACAAAATGTCCATCTCTGTACACAAGCATACCTCGGACTAAAAGAAAGTTGCAGAACGGTCCACAGTAATGGATTTCCTATGCCATGCAAATCTGAAGCTTTACATCATTGATATTTTATATACGAATTATATTTATGAAAAACAGTGCATGACCGTAATGTTGTCAGTCGATCGAACAATTATGAGTATGACCATATTATAAACTAAGCTGAATGCAATTTGCAGGTTATGTGCTTAAACATTGTTTGAATTCCTGGCATACAGTAGACCATTTAGGACGTAAAATGTATGAGAAAAAATTGGCTTTGTGACTAAGGTCAATGTATCCTTAGCTTTATGTCCACATCATTTCTAAGCAGCTCAAAAGCAAACTGAAGCAGTTTTGTGTGAATAGTGACCCGTATTACGGGTAATTGAAAGCAAAGCATGTTGACCTTCACTGGATAAATAAAGGTTAAAAAGGTAAACAATGTTACTGCTCTCCCACCGATTTTCCCTTAGTGAATTCTTAATCTTGAACTGCATTTAACCACAGTTAACAGTTAACCAAAGTTCCCTAAGAAAAAATGACTGTTATTGATCACCTGTGTACCTATAATCTCCAATACCACTGCTGCACAATGACTGCTAAACCTCAGACACACAAAGCTTTGTTGTCCTTAACATCTTCTTTCA